TTTCTTATAATTTCCTTAACGCTCTTATCCTTCATAATGATCCGACACAACTCTCGTCTGGTTGTTTTTAACCGCGTCTACTATAGTTAAAACTATCGTCTGCTGTTCGAAGAAAACAAAATAAAAGTAAACTGTTAACTATCAATGTACGGGACGAGTGCTAGGGCATGTCACGTGCTAGTTCGCGCTCGACGTATAGGAAAGTGAATTGGCAGATTGTCAATCAAGTGAGTCGCGTGCTAGCAGCAGACGTTAATTCAACCGCGCGCTCGTTGAACATGTAAGTATGTAAGATTAGCGCACGTGAAAAAGGGAATAACCTGCAGGCATCACGTAAACAGTTAAAGAACTGGCTATAAATAGCCTGGGATGGAAGTAGACAACGAGAGGAATATTTAATGCCAGTTTTCTCACCGAGATAAAATATCAAATATTAAAACAACACTGCCTTGTTTTAGACATCGGGAACCAATTTTGTTTTAAACCCGAGACCCCGAGACGCTCCTCGAGAGGAAATCAACAAACTCTTTCAAAACAAACTCTAGCTTGCTCTGATTAAATTTACGCGGGATTCCATTGTTTTATGAAAACTTTCAATCAAGAAACGAAAAGTTTGAAGCCAGGGGACATTTCTGAGAAATTTGAAATAGAATCGGATGAATTTGTAAATGAAAATGTCTGATTATTAAAAATAATTTCACGCATGTTTGTCTACAAATATTTCCGTCGGCCATGTACAAATCCCGACGATTTTAAATGGTATTTTTCTGTTCATGCCAATCATATCTCGGTTTACAGACAAATCTTGAGCCGATTTATGTCTTTTGTCTTATCGATGATGTAAAGTACCAAACTTTTATATACATGTGTATCTAACCACGAATGTATTCCAATGTTTTTTTTGAATAAAAGAAATAACAAAACAATGCCACCCCTGTTAGTTTCTTGTATGCCCAGCTTGGTACCAAGCAAAAACTTCGAGGTAGTATCTTAAGATTTCTCACTCAGTCCCCTTCCTTTTAACAGAAGATGATTGAACGGGAAGACAAAAACTGCGATTTCCGTGGGTCAAAAGGGTGACAACATATCTCAGAATGGCGGTCATTGAAAACAGTCTCCCACAAATTCCACACAAACAACAAATTTTTATCCTTAATTGTTTGAGAAATGGGAATCTTTAGAAACAAAATTCGGGCAGCTATTTCTTTAAATGGAAGTTATTTTCCAATCTAGGGTGACGTCGATTCCAGAAGTCTACATCCATTAAGATGAGAATATAATGTGTTAGACGGCCGAAGGGTGTGAATGGGAGCCAATAACTGGACATAATGTTTATAAACCAGTAAACTGATAAAATAAATTGTTATAATAAACTTTCACCTGGGTGGTCAGACTTTATTCTCTTACTGAGAAAATGTCAAGTTATCTAAATATACAGAGCGGCTAGTAAACAAAATGATTTGATAGTGGTCAGCCATACTTAAAGGAGCATTCTGGTTTTTTGAATAGGTTTGGGAAGTTAGGTGCTCAAATTATTGACCACCATGGATCAAAATCTACAGTAAGTGTTTTCTTTCTATTACCTCTTTCAGTATCCTTGATCAATTGCATTATTCTCTTCCAATATAAATCCTTACTATTTCGTGATTTTCTCTTGTTTTTTTTTTCATGTTGAAGAATATAGCCCGACTTAAATTATAAGTTTCAAAGTTTCAAAGTTCTCATCTTGTGGGTAATTATATCTGATCTGAAGAAGTATGTACAAATTAAGGTTGATCAAGAAAATACATGGGTAAACGGCATCTTTTCACGTATAATGTAAAACGTATTACAATTATAGCATTGGCTACTACCGCTTTATAGCATTCATGTCAGGGAAAACGGTAACTGTTTGACTTTTGACGACATCAGATCTCTCTAGATTGTCCCATTTATGAAAGGCACATGTTAAAATGTTAACTTTTACACTTTGGGCGAGGAACAGGGGAAAACGATATTTTCCTTTTTATTTGCGTCTATTAGGTAGGTTCCAAGTGAGTACCTCAACAGACAAGCAGTACATTGTGATTCCAATGCAAATCTGACTGCTGAACAGACGATCGGAAAACTGGACATCTTATCCTTAAACCAGTTGTGTTTATAGTGTTTATTATGATGCATGTATAGATGTATGCGAGCCAATGTATAAGAAAATATAGTACAGCAATGCATTCAAAATGAATAAATTATTCTGGACATGCTTGGCATACGAAGCCTATATTACACAGAAGTCATAATTAGGTATCTCAGTTATCTACAAGATACAAAGGATTTCTTCAGAACACGCATAGCAAATAGAGTCATCCACGATCTGCACTTTATTCTGAGAAGGCAAGTACAGTTTCCAATGCTAAGACAGCACCGGCCAGATTTTAATTCTGATACATTGTGAATAAGACTATCCAAGTTGAATTTGGCGAAAACAAGGAAGACATAAATTAAACAGTTGAGTGACACAATTGAACAAAAACCTGCGTTTTGTTGATGTAATCGATAAAAACCATTAAAATGGAAAATTATGTAAACAACCATAATAATTTGCTTGCTACGAGCTTTTAGGAATGAAAGAGAGAAAGAAACATCCATATTTTACAGAGATAACAAAATCAGTTCTCCAGGGAAGTGTATACAAGATGGTCATTGTGAAAACCTTTAGGCAATAATCCTTCATGGAATTTGAATAATGAATATTGTCGGGGTAAGATATTTCTCCACACTCAGGTAACAATTAAAAAGTGAACACAAACAGTCCAGTATATTCAATAAAATGTAAAATATTCCGAGAGTTTGACTAATCCCTCAACAGATTATAGACATCTATAAATGTATAAAAAAAATATTCTATACAAATTGATTTAATAAAATTTGATACCAAATTTAGAATTGTTCATCTTGACGCTGTAATGTAGTGTATATTGAGATAATTAGGAAAGATGACTTTGAGGTAACCAAACGTTCGTGCTCCCACCGAAATGGGAACCCATGAACACCACGTCCTCGATATACAAGTCGCTGTTGCAAATATATAACGCTTTGCAGCCTCTTTATCACGCATATGTACAGCGCTTTTATCACGTTCATCGAGGAAATACGACGATCTGAAGATCTCTTCATTTCGTCAAATATGGCTAAATCAAACACCGTGACTTTAAAACGCCTTTACTATGTTTGTAGCGACCTAAATACTATATCAGCTAATTTTCCGCCACCGTAACAACGCAGTAAGCTTCGACGTACCGGTACTGAGCAAGATAAGGGAAATAACTTCATATTACACTAATTTTTCAGACCACATATATTTAATTTGTATGAATTGGCCGCCGGCTATTTACTAAGATGTTTTTACTTTCCAGAAACAAATAATCTAAAGATAAATGAATTCATAATTAGATTTAATTAGATAATAAGACTAGATTTCAAGGCCCTTACAAACCGGGCTACAGTTACACCCATTATAAATAGTATAACTCTATGGTTACAAAAAATACATGGGAGATAACGTTATATTACAACTTTTCAGACCACATCTATTTTCCTTGTTCATACTCCCCTGATTTCTACGGTAAAAATCTCTACAGAGTATATTAAGAATTGAAATAATCTTTACATAAAGTGTAATTTCCACGTTAATAATAATATACATGTATAGACAATTGTGACCCTCCTCTATCTCAGCCACTCAGATTAATAGACAAGTGTATCTTCCCTCTATCTCAGCCACTCAGGTTGATAGACAAGTGTGTCTACCCTCTATCTCAGGCACTCAGACTAATAGACAAGTGTGACTTCCTTCTATCTCAGCCACTCAGATTAATAGACAAGTGTGACCTCCCTCTATCTCAGGCACTCGGATTAATAGACAAGTGTATCCTCCCTCTATCTCAGCCACTCAGGTTGATAGACAAGTGTGTCTACCCTCTATCTCGGGCACTCGGACTACTAGACAAGTGTGACTTCCTTCTATCCCTGGCACTCAGATTAGTAAACAAGTGTGTCTTTCCTCTATCTCAGACACTCAGAGTAATAGACAAGTGTGTCTTCCCTCTATCTCAGGCACTCGGATTAATAGACAGGTGTGCCTTCCCTCTATCTCATCCACTCAGACTAATAGACAAGTGTGTCTTCCCTCTATCTCAGTCACGCAGACTAATAGACAAATGTGTCTTCCCTCTCTCTCAGCCACGCAGACTAATAGACAAGTGTGTCTTCCCTCTCTCTCTCTCAGGCAATCAGATTAATAGACAAGTGTGTCTTCCCTCTATCTCAGGCAATCAGATTAATGGACAAGTGTGTCTTCCTTCTATCTCAGCCACTCAGATTAATCCCTCTATCTCAGCCACTCAGATTAATCCCTCTATCTCATTCACTCAGATTAATAGACAAGTGTGTCTTCCCTCTCTCTCAGGCAATCAGATTAATGGACAAGTGTGTCTTCCTTCTATCTCAGCCACTCAGATTAATCCCTCTATCTCAGCCACTCAGATTAATCCCTCTATCTCATTCACTCAGATTAATAGACAAGTGTGTCTTCCCTCTCTCTCAGGCAATCAGATTAATGGACAAGTGTGTCTTCCTTCTATCTCGGCCACTCAGATTAATCCCTCTATCTCAGCCACTCGGATTAATCCCTCTATCTCATTGACTCAGATTGATAGACAAGTGTGTCTGCCCTCTATCTCAACCACTCAGATTAATCCCTCTATCTCAGCCACTCAGATTAATAGACAAGTGTCTACCCTCTATCTCAGACACTCAGACTAATAGACAAGTGTGACTTCCTTCTATCTCAAACACTCAGATTAATAGACAAGTATGTCTTCCCTCTATCTCAGGCACTCGGATTAATAGACAAGAGTGGCCTTCCACCGTCTTGGACACTCAGCTTTCTGGAAGGGTGTGACTTCACTCTGTCTTTGACACTCAGTTCTTCTTCCTGGTGAAGGAGATCAATAATAGCTAACTAATAGAATAGAGATTTACTATCATTAAGGATCATTAAATAAATATCAGGAATTACAGATTCTATTGTCAAACAACACAAAAATATCTTACAGGATGATGTATTCTCTTCCTCCATATCAAATAATTACATTTATTTACATTTATTATCTATCAGGTCAACGACGTGACCAATATAAACATCCAATATAATGTGAAACATACTTCGAGAAACTCTGACACCGCAGCAGAATTTCTTATATTATTGGGATAACTTAAAATTAATTGTAAAAACCTTTCTGACAACAATCCTAATATCCAGTTTAACTAGAGGCTAAACTTTCTTATCATTACAGGGTTATTTTTCATTGGTCTGATTTGTTCAATTTTGAAATAAAGAAACCCTGTTCGACCATCAAAGATTCATTGGGTAACTAACACAAAAAATTTAATTTAAATCTGGTCACATAGACATCTATGATTCTGCACTCTAAGAGTTTTTTTTACAATAGGTGTGACTATCAAGGACGGTGACATTAAGGTGTGAAGGCAGGCACCAATAGATAGACAAGAATAAGGTTTTAGTTGGCTTCTTTAACACGCCTAAATACTATCTTCAGATATTGGTTAGTAGATTGCATATTACCGAATATTGTTGTTGAATTAAAGTATAAACATCAGAACAGTATTGATGGTTCTTAGAATGTTTTTGCGCTGATAGCACATGGTTTAGAAGAAGACCACTTAAACAAATATTTGATTTGAGAAGGAACTTCCTATACATTGCCAAGAAATTCCAAAACTATCAGAACTCAAATCTGATATTCAATTAAATAGTTTTAAAATTCGATTTTCTCAATAATGTGTGAATGTGGTTGGATTATCATTTTGAAAGTTATACATTTTTATAATACATGTATATCACTCTGGCCTATAATTAATATAATATAACCCTTAACCAAGCAATATAAATAATATGTCTTCACAGGAATAACTTTTTTTCAAACCCAAAAATTGTCCGCAGTTAATTAATGCTAAATTACATATTTTTGATTAGAGCCCTATGGACGAGAACAAAGTCACAGGGTCAATGAACAGTCATGAATTGCTTGTGAATGTAAAGTTTTAAATGAATAGATAACATGGCATGTTGTGATCTGGTAAAGACCAGTTGATCTAGATATAACATCAGCTGATAACCAGCTGGATGATCATGAATATAACCTTGTCAGAATGACATAGATTATAAACTGGGCTTATATTATACAGTAATATAATATATGCTTCACTATTGCTAATAATCAGTAATATAACTATCAACAGAGAAATGGAAAGTTGAGTAATAGGCAAATGTAAAGTTGTCAGTCTAATGGGATTATTGTCTGCTAAGCTATTATGCCATTAATTGCTGTGGGGTTTTGTCCTACTCAAGATGAGAAAATATTTAATGTTCCTGCTAGGGCTGGGTAAAATAATCGACTTTATAATTTCCATTATCCATTATATAATTTCATAATTTATTAGAAGTCAAAATTGCATTTTCTCCACTGTACCCATTAACAAGTACTTCAACATATAACTTACCCACAATAAGCTGTAATAACAAATCAAAGCAAGAGTATACTTCTATGTCGCAAATATAACCCATAAAATTAAGAATTTAGGCATGTTTTTAATTTAGTGTTCACAAGGCTTTTCAATAAAACCATTTTGAATATTAATCGTTTATTGATCAATAGCCTGCCACTGATAATAGATCTCAATTTGGTAATCAATACCCAGTCCAAGCCATTGCTTCCAAAAGTAGGCACAGTGTTAGCGTCTGTATTTATTCCCTATAACCACAGCTGGCCACTCCAGACATGTTACAAACTAACTACCCTACTAGTCTGAAAATAGCCCACTCATAGACTAAAATATTAATATATATTAACTTTATGACAAGTTTGATATGCTTTCCGATTTGATATCAAATCAAGTAATACATTCTGAAACAAATGCTAAGGAACAAGAGTCATAAAAAAAAACAAAATGCTATAAACAACTAACAACTTTCTTCAGATTGAATGTTTATGATTCTGGAATTTTTACATTTAAAACACAATTAAAGCAATATTAACTGACATCTAAATATCATATCATTTCAGCAACATTTTTATGTGCCTTGTAGAGTCAAACCTCAACAAATTACATAGTTCTTCATAAGATTCTCATACCCACACAGTATATGTTCACTTTATCACAGCTTGTTATTGTTGTTATAAATCACACATTGCAATTTATTCAATGCCATTTTAATAACACACTCTTAACCTGAGACTTATTGTCAAAAAACATAGTAACTTAAGATTCTCCAATTCTCTTGGAATCTGATTGGTCAATATCATCAGTGCAATTGTCCAATCAGAGAACTACCTTTGGTATATTATTGTATAATATTATCATTATTATCTTTAAGATATGTTAGACAGCAGACCTCAGTCTCTTAGCTGTCGTCACAATTTAATAATCTCCAGACCAATATACATCTCTGGCATGCAGAGTGACATGTCCAAAACACAGTTTAGAATGACGGAGCCATTGCATTCATCTCTTTGTGGTCCAAATTGGTTTTCTTTTTTAAAAAGTTACTGAATCCTGAACTAACCAGCCAACTCGGATTAGCCGCCTGAGAACTGGACCTTGCTGATACTGAATCCACAACATCTTTTGTGTTAACACTCTTCATCTGAGATTCTCTACGTGCTACCGAACTATTATCATTCTTATCCATTTGACCAACGGAAAAATGGGAGGAATTTTCAGGAAGAACACCCATTTGCATGAGATTTGTACCAGAAAGTTTTCTTAATAAACCACCTGTCTTGCGTTCGAGTTTTGGTGAAGTACGAGGTGTTACTGGCAAAGACACAGAGTGACGATTAATTGTCTGCTTTGGTACTGTCAATGATTTTTTGGGTAATTCTATCTGGAAATTTAAACCCAGAAGATCGTCTTGGGAAGGACTTGGAGTTATTCCTAGCTTAGGTTTCTTCTTAGCATCAGATTCTAAAAATATAAAACAATATCATATTAAGAACAAAAGAGATATATTCATTAATTAGACCTTTGGAGATTATATTGTTCTTAAATATCGGGCAACTGAATATTTTATGTATAAAATTTCAAGAGTTTTCAAACTGTACACGAAAAAAGCATTAAAATATGTCAAAATTATAAAACTCATGATTCCTGACTAGTCAAATAATACAATGAATTATAAAAAAAAAAACGTCACATGTATTATGATAAAATGGGCATGAACATGTGATTGGAACTAGAATCGCTTTCAGGCTAACACGTCAAATAACAAATTTTTACCTGACAAAATAACTACATTGATATCAATATAAAGATAATCTGTAATATAGGCCAATATGCACCACATTGAGAACACTAAAATGGTTTACAGACTAAATGGTCCTCATAAACAATAATCCAAAATATCAAAGATGTGCAAATGCAAAAAAACAATGACACAATTCAACTGGTGAATTCACAATATGAGCACATGTAGCCCTATTCCAACTTTATGTACAGGTTTGAAATTGAACAACTCTTACTAAACCATACAGGTCCATTATCATAAAACCTATTATACTAATCCATACAGATTAACAACTGACGATCAATTAAAGGCAGACCTTCCCCTATCTTACACTTATGATCAAAAGCCAATCTTAAGGAAGTTCAATAGAAAATTAAATGAAATGGAGTTTTGCGTCCTACTTTTCTGCACCATGTGGGCTAATGAAGACGGGCAACGCCATACAGGGTGCAATGAGGGAAATTTTGCCAGGACAGTGGCATTAGCCTGCTCTTTTCGATTTTCAACTGTCGAGGGATCTTAAACGTGTACAGCCTGTAGCACAAGGGGGAAGTTCAATAGAGCAATACACAAATGGTAAAAGGACGATAACAGAATATAAATATATCTGTAGGTAACATAAGTCTGAAGACAATACATTTATATTACACTTTATTTTAACCAATAATACATAAACTGCTGGAATTTATGTTTGCATGTTAATAGATGGTCATATCTTTACATTATTACATATTATATACATTATAAATGTTTTAGTTTGTATGACTTATATATAATACAAGACTTTCTATTAAATGAAGATATAAGCTTACACACCAAATAATTCTATTACCTGGATATATACCATTAATCTAATGACTGGTCAATGAGGGTCAATGATTTGTGGTTTTATTCTCAAGGCCAGTATTATAATATAAGGGTACAAGGTCTGAGTGGTGAAGGTCAATAACCTATACAAGTCAATGGTAGACTTTAACTGTCCACAAAAAACATGTGTGAAACGGGGCCCGGCATTGCAAATATGATCCTATCAGTCCTGTTCAAATAACTTCCAATTTAAAAAAAAATGTACAAAAGTTTATATCAAGAGTTGAAATACATCCTACTTACACACATCATGACAACCTATATAAGTTTCAAGTATGAAAGCAACAATATGGAATCAAATTTTTAAAACCAAAGTCTCACAGTGTAGGTATAAATAAGCTCAACAGCTGTAAGCCTAGACCAATACTGTATATAGATCATATCATTTTATACATACTGGTAAGTCCATATTATTGGAATATCCAACGAATTTAAAAAACACCTTACCAAATCTACAACCTTCGGAGCACAATTTTACTTCCTTACTGGTATACCTTTTACTCGTGACCACTGGTTAAAGCCAAGTCAACAGTTGTCTAAAGCCCTTTGATACTGTCAACATTGTATGATTAATTAGTCCAGCTTTTACTCTTGATTACAGTGAAGATTATGAAAATGACATAATCAATATCAAGCCAATAAATTTGATTTTAAATCCTTTTTGAGAGTCCACATATATTGTTGTTAATACTATTGTTAGTAACTAACATTATTCATGCCATTTGGATAGTCCACAAGCTGAAATGTTAATTTGTATAAAACAATAATTTGTAATTATAATGACTTTGTTCCTGTAAATAAAACCGATATGATCCTACTCTGCCTAAATATCTTGACAAATTCTGAAGTTACTTACCGGTTTTTGAAAAACGTTCTTAAATCAATTTCATTTATTAATCAATCAATCATAAAAGGAAAATGAGTACCGATATTAGAAATAAGAGATATTCTCCTATAGAAGAACTGGTCAAGGTTACAAGTAGAGACTATGAATTTCAACAATAGAATACATCAATTTAAGAAATTACTAACTTCTGGAGAGATTCACAAGGTAAAGTGTAAAATGACGGAGATCACAGAAGCCCTGGTAGGTAGATAACCTATTTGAATCATTGGACTATTATATCACTTTCAGCCTTGACTTACATCTTCCATTACAAACAACCAGCACCAACCAGAATAATAATACATTTAATAGTGCACCTATACTACACTAATACTGGTATACTTTACTCCTACTGATTTCATACCAAGCATACTTTTACTGTGTTTCACCTCTCTCCATAGAAGCCCAGCATATACAGATGTAAATAAATGTTGTGACATGTGACATAATGTCAAACATGACAATAAGATGTCCAGTAGGATATTCAAGTGCAGACTTAATAAGTTAATAGAATCCACGAATTCAGCTGCAAATAGACAAGGTTTCAATTTCCAACTGGTGACGGAGTTCTAACATGCACAGACTGTAGTACACAGCACCAATCAGGATGACTAGATATCTTTTCAATGTCAGCCACTCTGAACTGCTAAACTGAGAGACGGAAACCCAGTTGAAAACTCTGAAGGTTTCATCTCAGGATTGAAATTGAGGAACTGTCTAACTCACTGAGCCACTGTGACTTCCTAGAAGAAAACAAGTCAATGCATGGAATATGAATAACACATTATAGTACAATATGTTACATCATATAACATTGAATAACATTCTCTTGAAAGCTAGAGACTGACCTTGACTGATATCTCAACCAATCTCTCTCATTCTTATTACCAGAATTAACTTATATCTCCCTTATCTACAATACTGACTGAATTATCACACAATAACAAAGTCTATAGTTAATTACACTTTATTTATTTAAAACTTCATTTAAGTATGGTAATCCAGTTTATAATCTCTAAATCTGGTTTATATCTAGTGCAGACCTTTTGAAGATCAAGAATTGGTCTTCACAAACAACACACAACTCTGAATTGTATCCATCTATAAACTACTATTTAATCACAATTTGAAAATTAAATTCAAGGGTGCCAATTTCTCAGGAATAATGCCTAAGTCCTGTCTCCCAAAGACAAGTAAATCATAACATTTATTAATACTGTAAAGTGTGGTGAAATTTGTCTTTTTTTTCTTAATTTCAATAGTAAAAATCTTTATTTCATAAGCTTCTTTTGATTCTATATGTGCCCTCGCACCATAGCGATTACCAGTTGAGTATGGTTGCAAATAATGAAAGTTATGGGTGTTATTCTGTGTGAGGTGATTGCTGTGGTGTGAGGACATTAACCTGTATAACAACATAACATTCAGTTTTAACTCTGCTTTAGGACAACAATATAGATATTTTAGAATATGTAAATTAAACTGGTGAAAACAGTACCGTCACTTCAGATATAATATCACATCTTCTCATACATTTCAAACTCAATCAGTGAATTCACTTCTTTATTCACAGTACAGAAGTCCAATATCTCAATCAGTGAATTCACTTCTTTATTCACAGTACAGAAGTCCAATATCCGAAATCTAACAGTAAATCCAAACAAACTGAGCACAACTTAACAGAATGAACTAGAAGAACAAATTACTATACTAAAGTCAAGCAGAGATATGCATATCTAGATCTCATTTCAAAACATAAACACACCCTTTATTTCTAGGCTGTTAAAACTTACTCAACACAATGTTAGCTTTGTTAGGCTGTATAGATTCTATTACTTAGTCTAACTACAAAATAAAGTGGATTGGTCGTATTTATGTTTTGTATTGGACCCTAGTGAGCAGAATATCTTTGACTAAGCTTATGCTTACTGAATGACAAAACTGTTTATTTATGTTTATTTGCAAGTAATCCTATTCAAAGTTTAGAAATGTAAGTTTAAAGGTTGTCTCTAGAATACACAGTAAGCTTACTGCATGTCTATTACAAATAAACATTCTCTTATCGTGATTTCTTCGAAAAATAAGTCAAAAATATCTATAAGCCAATAACTTCTACTGAATAACAACAACCTTGCTAGTGGTAGTAAAATTTTTATTCAATAAGTTTCAATACCATTTCAAATCTACTTCTGAATATAGCTGTCATTTCTTGAAATACTCAAATAATGTCACTAACAAACAAGTATGATTTTGTAAGGTGTTTGAACTTGCACGATAAAACTGAAAGACTCTTAAGTGGCACGATATATCGGTGAATCGATGTATTGCGATGCGACATGCCAAGATATGCATATATCATATTGCAATGTCATGTATCGTTACTTGGCGATACCTCTCATTCCATAAAAATGGGGTTCATGATAAAACCATTTTTTTCACTGGACAGTGGACGCTAACCACTTCTACAATATTCTATAATACCAAATATCACAGTTGTAAAGTTATGAATTAATGTATAAACTTTGAAAATAAAATGTATCGCGATATGTATCGTTGCATAACGTGATTGACGATACCTAGCTCTACACATATGGACCAACTTGCATTTCATTAAGTAAAGTTAGTTGAATCTTTATTAGGCGGTGGAAAAAATTACTTATGGTACCTGTTTCCTGACCGACCCTATTCCAAACACAGCGACTCAAAAATTTTTACGGAGTGTTTGATGATTTTTTTTTTCAATATTTGAATAGATCTACGTTATATTACAACACTGACTGCCAAAACATCATATAATTTGCACAAATTGAATATAAACTTTCTATGTCTAAGATTACTTATTTCGCTCAATAATCAGTTCACGAGATTCAGCTATAAATAACTGGTACTTCACCATCAATCCAGACACAACAAAACATACACACTCGTGCGCCCTTTTATGCCTAAGATGAACAAGACTACGCCCGATCATTTATAAATAACATAATATGTCTCGATCAATCAAGACCTGCACCAGCTACTACCAGCTACATAAATGCTTCCAGTAAGAGTCCTATACGATCGAGACTAGTCTATATTTGGACATTTCCGTACAATGCAAATTGACAAATAAATGAAAATACATACTACAATAAAATTCATATCTGAAATAAAATAAAAACTAGAAAAACTAAAATGAATGAATTCCATATAACCACGATTTATATAACTAAACCGGATGTTTATATTTTTACATTGGTAGTCAACAAGATGGCAACAAAATATATTATTCTGGCTTCAATAAATCACAACGAAACTCGACTTAACTATAGTCTGTCACGATGGAGCATGATATGTGCTACCGAAAGCGACACTCCGCACTCGATTTATGATCGGTTACATGCTTCTTCGGGATGTTTTTGCCTGCAGCAGAGACGTCAGACATGGACTGTCCTACTAGTAGAAAAGCCGGTGATAGATTTCATACCAATATTTAAACACAGATTCATACTCTTCACATGTAAACTTGAACAGTCAAAACAGTCAGAAGTAAATACAAACTTTAAAATATAAATGATTTATCTCATCCAGACATGTATTTCGTGTATTGTATTATATAATGATAGTCTTACCCATATAAAATATTTTTAAAAAATAAAAAATTTTCCTACCTACCTACCTTAACCATATGACCTTATGAAAACGGAACCATGAATAATTTTTTCCACCGCCTTAATATAAGGATTGTGAAGAGGTTTTCTAAACTTCTAATGTGCATCAACACAATTCCAATTTTGAGACAGTTCTTGCAATTCCACTTTTTAAACTAAGTGTTTCATAATGAAAATTTTCTTAAACAAAAGTTTCTTGAATATAAACCTATAGTCTATTAATTGTTATATCATAATTCAAATTGTTAAATATGACTGGAACATGTAGTTGTAAATAGTAGACCAGTGAATGTGTTTACAAACAGCTTTTATGACATACATTCATAATAAAACCTTTTACTTTAATATATTGTCTTAACTTGTTGAGAAACTTCCTTCAAATGATACAAGTCAACAATATACTATTATGAAGTGATATTTACACTACTAAGAACTTTTTAACTCAAGAACAAAGAATGAACCTATTTGGCCTCTCCACAAAGGGTGCATTAAAGCAATCTTTGGAGCACTGCCATTTCCTGAAATCAATCTTGCTTTTTCACTGCCCTGGGATCATATTTTAGATCAGTCCGTAACAAACATGTCTTTTGTTGAACGAATACCTTTGATATCAGATAATCTCTAGTAGCTAGTTTAAATTCCAACCCTTCAGATTAAAGGGACTGGAAAGAGATTTTTAATTTTCCATATGTATCGGGGAGACTTATAGCATCGATTTAAAAGTTATCTCAAATTTTTTGTCGGTCGTCTCTAGTTCCTAAAATGCAACTAAAACTATAGGTTCGCTATTGCAACAGTCCTTTTAGACATTGATTTGTAATTATGTGATAGTGATATTTTAGTGCAATTCCAAGAACAGCAGAAATCTGACTCACAATTAGAAAGTTTAAAACAATTCTAACAGTGTTCCTAATCAATACAGAGAGTTTGGAAAACCCCCTTACATTACCAATCTATAATCTGCCTTTATCTAAACCTTCAACAAAATAAATTATAAGCTTCTCACCTGATACAGACTTGAGAGTTTTTTCAAGAAGTTTAATAGAATCCCTGCGCTCTCTGATTTCACTGGATTCGTTATAATGACCTATTTTGAAGGATCTATAACCTTGAGAATGACAGTCTGCAGGATCTTTAGGAAATAGGTGTAGATCTACTTCTTCATTACGATAAGAGCCTTTTAAAACATTTTTATCGGTCATTGTTGTAGATTCGCCACACAACTTTCAACCTCTTTACCACTCATATCTGCAATGATAAACAAAAATGTCATTAATATCATAGTACTTGGCTCATATTATAACTTCGTATTAGTAACCACAGTGTGAATAATTAACACAAATATGCTACCAGCATATGACTTAGGGAACAGGTGTGTCATTTTGGGGGGTTGATTTGAGTCTTGAATACATCTAAATAGTCTTCAGAAGTACTAGAAATATATGAAAATCTTAAAAAGATGAGTCGTCATTTAAACATTTTAACATTCAAACGCAGATAATTCTGGGATAGTCTCAAATTTCGAAGGTCAGCTGTGAACACTATTACTTATTAGCTCAGCTAAAAAATTCCAGTTTCTGAGACTAAAGTATGATTGGTCAAGAAAAATGGCCATCTTGTCCCTTTAATACACCTTTGTTGCAATCACAGCTAATGATATAGCAAACATGTATCTTCATCTACAATATAAGCTTATCACTATTTAAAAGCGCTCGCATGATAACCAGATTCATCATTTTTTATCAGTAAGTTTACAATCTAAGGATATATATATCCAAATTGATTAAAGAACATTTTTTAAGTAATTGTGCCTATCCTCAAAAAGACTGGTTTTGACAATTTAAGCTACCGGTGTATCAATTTAATCCAAACAATATGATCTATTCACGCATATCATTTAATCTATCTTATGAATAGAATAAAGGTACGGTACCAGCATATATTATACTGGGACTGTATGTAAATAGTTTGGCAATCAAATATAAGCTAAATGCAAATGCATGATCATTGAACCATAGAAAAATTCCTGAAAATTGGAATGGTGGAAATCGACGGTATTTGTATACCAACATTTATAACTTCTACTGACTTACGCTAAGGTGCAAATAGCCACGAAAACAGATAAAGCCAAATACACAAGGGGTCAAGGTACAGGAGAGGAATCGGGACAAACTTTCAAAAAATGAAATGAATGGAGTTTTACGTCCTACTTTTCTGCACCACGTGGGCTAATGAAGACGGAGGAAAAACTTTCAGGCCTGAAGAAAACAAGCAATTTACCAGAGGTAGCAGTTGTCTTAAGATATCCAAAATAATTTCCACATCCATAGAACATATTCTCATAAATAATACCTCCTCAATGAAATTAATATATTCAATATGGCACCACAAATTTCATCTCAGTTCAATGACTTCAAGATCAATCAATCTCAGGCAGTTAATTCCTTATAACTATTCACTTGACTTTTACACCCTAATACCAATATATAAAGCTGGGTTTGTATGATTGTACAAGAAATCACAGGTTTTAGAAGGCACACTGAATCCCAACTCGATTCCTCAGACATAAGCATACAAAATGAAACAATTTCATCATCAGTTGTTTTTGTATAGGAAAGTAGGCCAGTAATCTCTTCCTTTTTACTGGTGGATTCTAGTCGCTTCTATTTATAGCATAGGACAAAATGTCGTCACCGATTTTCCATGTACCCAGCCGGTACTTGTAAACAGGCCATATTCAATACTCTTAATATCTTTTAAACAATGACTCCTTGTGTATCTCGAAGACTATACATTAAAATATTTACTTACCGAGTTATAACATACGTTAATTCTGCCATTTTATGAAAAAAACAAGAAAGACAGGTGATAAAAATTTTCTGAATGGGGTGATTTTTCTTGGTTATCCAGACGCAAATGTACCGGAAGTACGTCTAGGATGAATCTGGATGAATCAAATCGTACATGTCAGTTTTTGTCACGTCGGCATTTCGTTTTGAGTCATATCGGACGTACAATTATGGGCGTTATATCGTACTTTCAGTCACTCTGTCTCTGATTACTAATTAGCGACATTGAAGGATAGAAATCACATTAAATAACAGAGCACAATTTTAAGGTACTCCTTAGTTTTATTGCACACAACGTTTCAACAATCTACATTGTCATCATCAGGTGAAATGAGGAAGTATAGCCTACATAAATAATAGACAATAGCAACAATTAATTACTGATCAATATCAATCCTGAATTACGACAATGTAGATTGTTGAAAAAAAACAAAGGAGTATACATTAAAATTGTGCTGTTATTTAATGTGATCTCTTCCCTTCAATGTCGCTAAAGGATTATTGATTACTAATTGTGTTCCACGTTCAGGGGCTGCGCCAGTCTCCCGAGACTTGGGGTACAAATAGGGACAGACTGACTCGAAATGCAGCAACTCGGCGGCGTCATAGCAAGTCTCTCTTGGAGGTTTCAAGAGGTTTTTATTTAAGAGAAAATTTTCGAAAAATTGAATTGATTTGGTGCATTCCGACACATATTTTTAAGGAAAATAAAAATATACAAATAAATTTGTTTTTGAATTTGTTAAAATGGAAATTGGGGGTGCAAACAATTTTTTTACCTGGTGAATGTTACCATATGTTTGATATAATTACCATCTGACGGATATTACAATCTATCGAATATTATCACCTAGTGGGTATTATTATATGTTGAATATTACAATCTTCTGGATATTACAATTTTGCTGGATATTACAATCTGATGGATATCATCATCTGGTGGATATCACCTTCATTTGGATATTAAAATCTGGTGGATGTTATCATCTGGTGGATATTACCTTCAGTTAGATATTAAAATCTGGTGGATGTTACCAGCTATTTGATATTAAAATCTGGTGGATGTTATCATCTGGTGGATATTACCTTCAGTTGGATATTAAAATCTGGTGGATGTTACCAGCTATTGGATATTAAAATCTGTGGATGTTATCATCTGTTGGATATTACCATCTGGTGGATATTAATATCTGGTGAATATTACCACCTGGTGGATGTTACCAGATATTGGATATTACAATCTGATGGATATTATCATTTGGTGGATATTACCTTCTGTTTGATATTAAAATCTGGCGGATGTTACCAGATGATGGATATTAAAATCTGATGGATGTTACCATCTGGTGGATATTAATATCTGGTGAATATTACCACCTGGTGGATATTACCACCTGGTGGATATTAATGTCTGGTCAATGTTATCATCTGGTGGATATTACAATCTGATGGATATTATCATCTGGTGGATATTAATGTCTGGTGAATATTACCATCTAGTGGATATTAGCATCTGTTGGATATTATAATCTGGTGGATGTTACCATCTGTTGGATGATACCACCTGATGGATGTTATCATCTGTTGGATGATACCAGCTGATGGATGTTACCAAGCAATGGATGTTACCATATTCTGTTGAATGTTACAATTTGGTGGATGTTACCAGCTGATGGATGTTACCAGATGATGCATGTTACAACCAGCTGATGGATGTTACCATCTGTTGGATGATACCAGCTGATGGATGATAACAGCTGATGGATGCTACCAGGTGATGGGTGTTACCACATTCTGTTGAATGTAACAATTTGGTGGATGTTACCAGCTGAAAGTAAATTTTACCAATGTCAGTGTGTTACTAACTGATCATGTTAAAATCTTGTTGATTTTATCATTTGGAATGTGTATTTCGGGACATCAATTTTGTAGGCGTTTGAAATGACATAGAAGTTTTTTTTAATAATGTAAACTTTAAATAACGTAGCTCATCCATTCCCTACAGACCCACCCTTTCCCGAAAACCAGATCATGTTCATATCGCAGGTTTCGCCAAAGGTTATTAATTTCAAATCTATAGATAGGTTATTGCATAATACAATGACGTTGCGTCATAATAAGCCTTATAGTAACGTCGGGATACTGGTATTCAGAAAGTGGCAAATGGACTCGTTTGCTGAGAACATTAAGGAGAACATGACGTACATTATCACTGGGGTAGCAGGCATTGCTGTAGGATATAGTCTGTACCGAGCCTGGAGATATGTCTATTATGATAATGGTGATGATGAATATTTTGAAAGGCTTCAACCATCGGTAAGTCAGTCTTGGCCCTCAACCTCAGCCTTAGCTCTTAACATGAAACTTACTGTTTTTCTATAGCTTGATATCTGGATTTTGACGAATCTCTCCTATGATTCTCTTATTTTCGGAACACAATATTATGGTATTGGGTTTTATGGTACAAAACGTTTTAACAATTTACATTATCAGTATCATTATTTCACCTGATGATGCCAATGGTGAAATGTTATGTACGCACCCAAGAAAATTATACCATAATAGCCTATTGTCCTGTAATCTGTACCTCTAAACGTCGCTTATGAAATGTACCTCCGTATCTGATCTAATTATAGTTATAATACACGGAAGTCAGTCAGAAACTTTCTGCCTCTATCTGTCCTCTCAAAGTTATTATTGATCGAGGTCGGCAAAATTTCTGCCTGTATCTGTCCTCTCAAAGTTATATCGGTGGAGGTCGGCAAATTTTCTGCCTCTATCTATCCTCTCAAAGGTATAAATAACAAACGTCGGTAAATTATTTTGAGGTTAGTTGCCATTGATGAAATTTGGTCAGCTTGTTCCTTCTGATCTCTGACAGTTATTTTTTACGTCAATATGTGGACTCTATCAAGTCTTTGATAATGATATTGATTTGGGCCACTCTACCTTCTAAAATCTTTATATCCCATGTTATTTCAGACAAAGTCGGAGAAAAGAAAGATATTGATAATAGGGTTAGATGGTTCCGGCAAGACACGCTTCTCCCGATGTTTTTGTAAGGGTCGAAGAAGATTAGGGTCAACAGAAGAAACAACTATTGGATTTTATGTGAATACTGTAAAACTGGGGGAAGTTTCTCTCGATATGTGGGACGGTAAGACTATTTTAAACTATTTGAATGCCATCGACAGGTGTTTTGAATATGAAATCCTCATCAGGTCAACTGATTTGTAAATGATCGGTTAAGATCCAATATTTGGATATTTTATAAAAGATAATTATGTTAAACCTTTAGGTTATTTTAAACCTTTTGAATGCAATCGACAAGTGTTTTGGATATTGATCAGGTTAACTGATTTGGAAATGATCGGTCAAGATCCAATATTTGGATATTTTATAAACGATATGTTGAACCTTAAGGTTGAACTATTTGAATGCAATCAACAGGTGTTTTATATAAGAAATCCTCTTCAAGACAACTGATTTTGTGCTGAGGTTAAGATCCAAGATTCGAACGTTTTTTAACAAACTTAACAATATAATAATTTCATATTATCACAATAAATTACATTAATACAAAAGAAAACGATCCAGAAAGACGCTCAAGGTTTCGCTAACAAAAAATTGAAAAAATGTGAATGCTTTGAGTCCGACCTTTGTAGACGTAAGACCAAAAATTGATGATTGAAATAGGATTGGAGTATAAAACTTTACGGCTAATTTTAAGAGACTGGCGAATATTGACGTTTGAAGATCGAAGACTGATGTTTGAATTACGAAGAATGGCGATTAAATTACGAAGATTGACGATTTGACGTTGAAGTACAATGATTGAAGATTGACGATTGACAACTGAAGAACAACTAGAACCGTTATAACGGTACCGAAGCAGTGCGCATCCAACCTGATACATCGATAAAACGTTGCATTTTAAAGTCACAATGGGATTTCTTACCGGAAAGAAAAGCATGTAAACGTTCAATAGTAGAAAAAATCGTTTAAACCGTTTACCGTTCGGTAGTGAAAAGACGCATGAATTTGATACCATTTGGTACTAAAAGGTGTTAACATTCGGTAGTAAAAAGTCGAATTTTCAAATAGCTGTAAAGTTAAAAATCCTATTCCCTTTTTTAAAGTAAAAGGCCTAAACAAAATGTAACTCTATCAGATATTGTCCCAAATAGTGCTTTAATTTTTTGTAAAATTTCGATGGTGAAAAATGCAAACTTTTCGAGATATAACAATTTGAATTATTTATGGTAAAGGTAAAAGTAACCCGGATTTGCCACGCCCACTGCAAAACTTTTGTGTTGTCTGTAATAATGTGTACAATGTCAAATAATGTTCAAAATTTCAAGTGTTTACAATCATTAGATTATGAGATATTCGTAGTTAAAAGTTTTTTTAAGGCAACGGTGACTGTCGGTGGATTATAGAAACCGTTAAAATTACGCAAAGTTACCATAGAATATAATACAAAATTTTCAAATTCAATTTTAATCAAAATACCAAGTGTTATATATCATTTGAAAGAATAGATTGCGTGTAATAAGGACAAAAGATAAATTTTCGCTGATGTAAATTAGGTCACGTGATAGACCTTTTTAAGGTAAAAATCGCGATTTTCAATTGGCTGTAGAACCGGAAGTTAACGGAGCACGACAAAAGTGAAAATATTATCGGATATATCTCGTAATGGGCAACAACCTTTGTTCAGGTCAAAAGGTCAACAAAGGTTAAATAAAAGTAATATGAGCCTTTGAAGTTTCGAAAATTGCTGTTTTCGGACGTCTGTAAAACCGGAAGACTTGCACTCTAAGAATATATAAGAAATTTTGTTATATGTTATTTAGGACACGTGACAGAGCTCTTCAAAGTTAAAAATCGCGATTTTCAAATTGCTGTAGAACCGGAAGTTAACAATGCACAACAAAAGTGAAGATATTATCGGATATATCTCGTAAGGGGCAACAACTTTTGTTCAGGTCAAAAGGTCAACAAATGTCAAATAAAAGTAATATGAGCCTTTGAAGTTTCGAAAATTGCTGTTTTGGACGTCTGCAAAACCGGAAGTATATATCGGACATCAAAGATCAAAGTAAGAATGGTCCTCCTTAGCCAATGACCTTTGACCATGCAAAGGTCAAGGTCATTCATGCTAAAGATCAAAAATGAAAATTTATAAAATTGTTAAACCTATTCCCTTTTTTAAAGTAAAGAATGCAAACAACTGTAATCTTATCACAAATTGTCCTAAGCAGTGATCTATTTTCATGCAAAATTTCTAGGATGATAATTGAAAACTATGAGAGTTATAACAATTGCAAATATTTCAGGTAAAGGTAAATGCACACCGGATGTGCCACGCCCACTTCAAAAATTTTAAGTTTTGTCTGTGGTGGTGTGTACATTGTTAAATAATGTTCAAAATTTCAACTCTTTACAATCATTAGATCATGAGATATTCGTAGTTAAACCTTTTTTTAGGGCAACGGTGACTGTCGGTAAATTATAGACACCATGATTTTACGCACAGTTACTATAGAAGTCAGTACAAAATTTTCGATTTTTAAAACGCGCAATTTTGATCAAAATATCAAATGTGATATATCGCCAAAAAGGAGATTTTATGCACTCAAAGAATATATAAGAATTTTTGTCGTATGTTAATTAGGTCACGTGACAGAGTTCTTCAAAGTTAAAAATCGTGATTTTCCAATGGCTGCAGAACCGGAAGTTAACGATGCACAACAAAAGTGAGGATATCAACGGATATATCTCGTAAGGGGCAACAACTTTTGTTCAAGTCACAAGGTCACCAAAGGTCAAAGTCACTAGATATGAGCCTTAATATTTTTGACAATTACTGAAAACATAAAACCGAAAATAAAAAAAATACAAATCCAAAATTCAAAAATCGGCTTCCTAAGTTTTGTTAGCAATCGATTGCAGATTCTTTAGACACCAAAATCACACAAATCAGATTTACCCCTGAAGCTTAATATCGATTTTTACAAAAATTGGTCACATCAAGATGGCGTCTGACACGTTACTTCCGGTTCAAATTTTTTCATTCCAAAATTGTTATAGGGATAATTTTAACTAATTTCAAAAAGAATTTTTCAAATACCTACAAAATTCCGGAAGTTGAAATTTCAAGTTTAGAGGCGAATGACGTCAAAACCGGAAGTGATATCGAAATTTTGAAAATAGTTTTTTGTCAGGAATCATAATGCTTATCTACTATTAAATTTTTAGATCGATTGATATAAAATTGTAGAAGTTGAAAAAAACGCTAAAATTAAAACAAAAAAAGTCAGCGACAAAAGTCAAAATCTGAAATTTTATAAAAGAAGTTACGGTCAAAATAGATGCAGAATTAGAGCAGTAATTCGAAATACGTAATGAATGGTTAACGTCATACGTCATTTCCGGTTGGAAGAAAATGCGTCATTTTACATTTAAACAGTAGCGACACGCAAAGTATAAGAAATAATAGTGTCAAACAATGTGTGACATGTGCAGTTTTGGCTGGGGAGCGTGACCAGAAGTAGACAAAAAAAAAAAAAAAAAAAAAAAAAATAGTCATTTGCAAAACAATGCAGTGCGTTCGAAGAACGCACTGCAATGATTGGCGATTGCAATACAAAGAATATTGAAGATTGGAGCTAAATGTTTGTTGACTGAAGTACGAAGAATGACGATTGCAGTACGAAGTTTGGTGATTACAGTAGATTATTGGCTATTGAAGCTAAATGGTTGTTGGCTGAAGTTCGAAGATTGCAGTACAAAGGATGACGATTGCAGTGCAAAGATTGGCGATTAAATTACGAAGATTTGGCGATTTAACATCGAAGATTGAATTACGAAGATTAACGTTCAAAGTTCGATGATTGACGATTTCAGTACAAAGGATGATCATTGCAGTACGAAGATTTCCGATTGATTTACGATGATTTGCAGAAGCTATACGACGTGCTAGGGCATCAATAAGACAATTTTATAAGGGGTTGCTTCGAATTGGTACAAGAAACTCATTTATTTAATAACTAGTCATTTTCCATCATTAAAACAGGTGATCGATTTCATTTTAGTTTCTTAGTTAATTATCTTGTCGTGTTATTATATTTCAGTTGGAGGTTCGCCGAATTGTCGAGAATACTGGAAAGATTTCAGGGGCTTTACGATGAATTTAGACCTGATTTGTTACTGTGTAGATTCAAGTTTACCTTCACGGTTTAACGAGGCTAGAAGGGAACTTCATAAGTTTCTACAGTATGAGAGTACTAACGGTATTCCCTTGATACTCGTCGCTACAAAACAGGTAGGAAAAACATCTTTCTGAAAGGTTAGACATCAGGTATTGGTACTTAAGAAAGCCTTTTTTACTGAACAATAATTATTTACGGTTTAAGGGAATTAGGGGCAGGTTTCGTTTTTTAAAGACGGCATAACGTTAACAGCATCCGATTTCTTCCTACATTTGAACGACTTTAGAAACATGAGAAGGTACAATAAACCTTAGCTCCGTGTGTGGAGAAAATGGATACGGAATATCAGAGCATTGCCAATACCTTTGGAAGATGTTTGTTATGTAAGATATGGATATATATATTTTTTCCCTTTGCAGTATGGATGGCGGAAAAGCGTTATACCTCTACAAATGTCAATTTTAGCATACAAATTACGAGATAAGTCCGCCTTTCAGATTGCACATGATCCGTCTTGTTATTTCGATTCTTATTATATTCCAGGATTTGCCGAATGCTGTCTCTCCAAGTCAGGTTCTTAAACAGATGAGTTTAAATGAGTTCGAATCAACTCGTTCTCTGTATACTGTAGGTGTCCAGGCTCCTAATGATGGCCCTAGGAAAGGTTTCATGGATACCTTCAGACTGTTTGTTACTATCGTGAATCAAAATAGGAAACAAAAATAACCTTATGCTCCTATAATAATAAACATTATGCTCTTTGAAGAATAAACATTATGCTCCTTAAAAAATATACTCTTTGAAGAATATATATTATGTTCCTTGAGGAATATACATTATGCTCTTTGAAGAATATACATTATGCCCCTCGGGAATAAACATTATGTTCCTTGAAGAATATACATTATGTTCCTTGAGGAATATACATTATGCTCCTTGAGGAATATACATTATGCTCCTTGGGGAATATACATTATGCTCCTTGAGGAATATACATTATGTTCCTTGAAGAATATACATTGGGCTCCTTGAGGAATATACTTTATGCTCCTTGAGGAATATACATTATGCTCCTTGAGGAATATACATTATGCTCTTTGAAGAATATACATTATGTTCCTTGAAGAATATACATTATGCTCCTTGGGGAATATACATTTTGCTCCTTGAAGAATATACATTATGCTCCTTGAAGAATATACATTATGCTCCTTGGTGAATATACATTATGCTCCTTGAGGAATATACATTATGTCCTTGAAGAATATACATTATGCTCCTTGAGGAATATACATTATGCTCTTTGAAGAATATACATTATGCTCCTTGGGGAATATACATTATGCTCCTTGAGGAATATACATTATGTTCCTTAAAGAATATACATTATGCTCCTTGAAGAATATACATTATGTTCCTTGAATAATATACATTATGCTCCTTGAGGAATATACATTATGCTCCTTGGGGAATATGCTTTATGCACCTTTGGGATTATACATTATCCACCTTGAAGAATATATATTATGTTCCTTGAAGAATATACATTATGTTCCTTGAGGAATATACATTATGCTCCTTGGGGAATATACATTATGCTCCTTGGGGAATATACATTATGCTCCTTGGGGAATATACATTATGCACCGTGGGGAATATACATTATCCACCTTGAAGAATATATATTATGTTCCTTGAAGAATATACATTATGTTCCTTGGGGAAGATACATTATGCTCCTTGGGGAATATACATTATGCTCCTTGGGGAATATACATTATGTTCCTTGAGGAATATACATTATGCTCCTTGGGGAATATACATTATGTTCCTTGGGGAATATACATTATGTTCCTTGAGGAAGATACATTATGCTCCTTGGGGAATATACATTATGCTCCTTGAGGAATATACATTATGCTCCTTGAGGAATATACATTATGCTTCTTGAGGAATATACATTATGCTCCTTGAGGAATATACATTATGCTCTTTGAAGAATATACATTATGTTCCTTGAGGAATATACATTATGCTCCTTGAGGAATATACATTATGCTCCTTGGGGAATATACATTATGCTCCTTGAAGAATATACATTATGCTCCTTGAGGAATATACATTATGCTCCTTGAGGAATATACATTATGCTCTTTGAAGAATATACATTATGTTCCTTGAAGAATATACATTATGCTCCTTGGGGAATATACATTTTGCTCCTTGAAGAATATACATTATGCTCCTTGAAGAATATACATTATCCTCCTTGGGGAATATACATTTTGCTCCTTGAGGAATATACATTATGCTCCTTGGCGAATATACATTATGTTCCTTGAGGAATATACATTATGCTCCTTGGGGAATATACATTATGCTCCTTGGGGAATATACATTATGCTTCTTGGGGAATATACATTATGCACCGTGGGGAATAACATTATGCGCCTTGAGGAATATGCTCCTCCCGCTAAAATCTCCAGAACCAGTTGATGTGAGACAGTATCTTTTAGTTTGGCCGACATCTTACGTTTAAGATCTCATTTTTAAACGTTTTTTTATGCTGCCTTTGTACAGATAATTGTTTATTTTGTTCATAAATATTTTCATTATGAGTTACTTAGGATAATTACTTAATTAGTAGATCTTATTGATCCTTGGTTTTTAATATTAATCTGTTTAATTCATCGTAACTAATCCATTTAGACGTTCATATCAAAGTGATTAATTACTAGTTAATAATTGGTCCGGATAGTCTTTGAGTTCAAGCTGTGCTGAGTTGTCATGTATTCCAATCATTGCAAAAGTTAATATTTATACTTATATGTATGTTACCTATGATATTGTATAACCACAGAAAACTGTCATTTAGCCAATGTATTTCTTTGTGGGAGCTATAAAGGCCCATTTTTTTTATGTTTTCAACACCAATCCAACTACCAACTACTACGACTACCAACAACTACCTAGTTTGCGATATCCGCATACGCTGGAAGCGAACGTTAACTTGTCATCTACCTACCTACCTACCTACCATGTTTTCAACATTCAGTTACAGAAGACAATAATTCACACCTCTCTATAGACCTGATTGTAAGCGTAAATTAATGCATTTGAATATTTTTTTTATTAAAATTACGTCAGGAAACCCAAAATAAACTTCATATAATTTGAATTCAGGAATTGTTCTGTATATAATACTGTAGGTGAGCCGCTTTTAAACGGTAAAATAATATATAAAAAATATCATATCATATATTACATGAATATCATATCATATATTACATGAATATCTTATCATATATTATATGAATATCATATATATTACATGAATATCATATATATTACATGAATATCATATATATTACATGAATATCTTATCATATATTACATGAATATCATATATATTACATGAATATCATATCATATATATTACATGAATATCATATCATATATTACATGAATATCATATCATATATATTACATTAATATCGTATTACATGGATATCATATCATATATATTACATTAATATCGCATCCTATATATTACATTAATATTCTATCATATATATCACATGGATATCATATCATATATTTACATTATTATCATATCATATATTTACATTAATATCATATCATATATTTACATTAATATCATATCATATATCTACATTATTATCATATCATATATTACATGTATATCATATCATATATATTACATGGATATCATATCATATATTTACATTATTATCATATCATACATATTACATTAATATCATATCATATATTTACATTATTATCATATCATATATATTACATTCATATCATATCCTATATATTACACGAATATCATATCCTATATATTACATTAATATTCTATCATATATATTACATTGATATTCTATCATATATAGTATACATGTACATTAATACCATATCATATATATTATATCAATATCATATCATACATATCACACAGATGGTATTACACATCACCACATATATCATAATATATCACATACATATCATATCTTTAATATCACATAGATATCGTACCTTTAATATCACATAGATATCATGTCGTTAATATCACATAGATATCGTATCGTTAATATCACATAGATATCGTATCTTTACACATAGTCACTTTAACACAGATATCGTATCGTTGATATCACATAGATATCGTATCGTTAATATCACATATATATCATATCGTTGATATCACATAGATATCATATCCTTATAATCACATAGATATCATATCGTTAATATCACATAGATATCATATCGTTAATATCACATAAATATCGTATCGTTGATATCACATAGATATCGTACAAGTATCATATAGTAGCACATCATATTATCATATATCATATCATTCAGTTAACGATGACTTTCTAAGCACTGTCAGCCATTGACAGATTTTCATATCATTATCACAGATGTGCACACAATATTTAATTTGATTCGGTAATTATTACGATAAATGATTTTTAATATGTCAATAATTAGGGATGTAGATTGTGACACGATAGCAGTTAGCCACCATTGATCTCACATGTAGTAATATGTGACCCGTAAGATGGTTTCTGTACAATAAATAAACGAAATACTAAAGTCCGGAGCACACACTGGTCATCAGCCCAGGCATAATTCATTCTCGACTCAAAACAACCCATTGGTATATAAATTTACCCAATTGTGGCTCGGTGGCTTACGTGTATTAAACGTAAAATATACCGTATTCGTCAACCTAATAAATTTCATATCTCAAGGAAAGATACATTAATTAATGTGATTTATTAACTTATGATTTCTAGGCATCATCTGATACTACTTTTATTAAATAGTTGATATGGCATATGGCGCCTGGTTCTAATTAGATTAAAATAATTAGTTTTTGTTGATTATTATCAGTAGTCATTAGCATTTCTTTTGTCCCTCAATGATATTTGAAACTTTCTTGGCACATAAGAAGACCTCTATTTTTTTTTTACTTGATTTCCATTTATTGCCTTAAACATTGCAAAATTACTGTATACATAAAAAATGTACAACGGAAACCAATGAACATATTTTAAGACCGCACACTTACTGAAAAAACCACGATAGCCCTAAGATAAAAACGGACATGGTCGGGAGATAAATGGCATGTTCGATCGAAAGACGCGTTTTGTCCGCAAGTGTGCGGCTGTTAACGGTAATTTGTCGTGACCTAGTTAGAGGTCAACTAAAAGCACAATCATCTGAATCGAATGCAATTCGAGATTTAAAAAAAAAAAATGTTCATTAAGTCAGATTTAAAAGGGTGGATTATATCTTTTATTCCTTTTTCTTATTGATCTTAACTTTACAATATCTGATTGTAAAATTCATCTATGATTTTTCAATCAACTTGAAAATGGATCAACAAACCAACGAAAGCAACAATTTCAGCCGGTCCTACCAGGCACAATGTTACAATTCATTTCCATGTCAATTCCCTGGGGCTTGAAAATCCCAATAGTCATGATCGTTTTGATTTTATTAAGTAATAATGAGAAATAAAAATAACGAAGCTACTTTTATTTTCCATCGAGTCTTTCGGTCGGAAAAATGTTTTGTTAACGCTGATTGGTTCAATATGAAATCAAAATTGAGTTCTCATAATCACTATTTTCAAAAACAGTAAAAATGGAGCCGCAAGATTTAAAATACTTAAGTAACCGTTTAAGAAT